GTAATGAAAAATTTAGTATACATATAACCTACTTATGTACTTTACATAAGCACTTGGTAGAGGCACATCCAGACAAATTAACAGAAGGAGAGAAGAATAAAGTGAAATTCAATTGGACTTGGGACTATTATATAGCAAAAAGCAATAGAGAAGCAACATGTAGACTATGTAAAGTAACAGTTAGATACACTTATGTATCTGATTTAAAATATCATTTAAAAACGAATCACGAGTAAGTGCCTCATATACACCTCATGTATACTAAAAAATTTATAAACGTACTTAAAATTGTAAAATTGATTACAACAAAATAATCAATATTTGCTATAGAAAATGTAATCCATACAAGAATATCCATTCGTTTAAAAATTTTTCAAACATGTTTGTCGGCAAATATAATATAAAACATATCTGTTCGTACTATACATACATAAATATTTTGTAGTCTTATTATATACAAAGTGCATTCCGGAATTTGAATTTACTTTCACCATGTATAAAAAGAGCTAGTAATATTTGATCACTATAATTTTTACCGAGGAATGGACAGATTTATAAAATATTTGAATTTACTTGATTGTTACGATCCTGACCGCTTTTAATTGTTCCAGTAATACGAGAAGTCTGAATAAAAAGTGATAATTTTTCAAATCTTCCACATAATAGAATATTGTGCATAATTGGAAATAATATTTTTACACCATTTTTATCCTCGCTTGTTTGAAAACTTCTTGTACATACATATAAATGTAGGATTTCAGGTCCAACTTCAGATAAAGTAATAGGTAACGAAAACAATTCAGATGATGGCATGGATGCAAACAAAGATGTAGAAGGTGCAGAGGGAACAGAAGCAATTAACGAGTAATTATAATCTCTTGCGTTGACTATAATACATTTAAATGGATCTTACGAATTCAACCTGGAATTTTTATGGAAATATAATCTATCTATATTATATAAAACATTTATTTATTCTTTCGTTAATTACCTTTATAATAAGTAGCTGATCAGAAATTATTTTCTCAGGGGAACACCATACAATTTGATTCCAATACGTCGCGTGAACATTACACAAAGTTGACATGTAACAAAGCAATATGCAATCATTGTAATGGGGAATTTAATATAAATGTACGACGCATAGATACTTTTCATAAGCACTTGGTGGAGGCACATGCAGACAAATTAACAGAAAAAGAGAAGAATGAAGTGAAATTCCATTGGACTTGGGACTATTTTATCTTAAAAGACTGTACAAAGGCAATATGCACAATATGTAACGTAACAACTGGGGGGAAACATGTAAGTAGTTTAAAAAGCCACTTAAGAAGAAATCATAAGTAAGTATACTCCATGTATATAATATAATTATGAAGCGTACTTAGAATATAAAATTTATTGTAATAAAATGATGTATATTAGCTAAATATGTGTATCACAGATAATGGTAAATACTGATTGAAAGGTTTATTGAATAGGTTTTTTCGTATTTTGTGCGTTTATTCAAATATGATTTAAAAATGCATTTATTCGTATACATAGGGATAAATGTTGATAATATATAACGGAAGCAGCTTGCCATTGACCTTGACATATGTTGTCATGACCCTGAGAAACCTCCAACAAGTTTGAGCCGTAGCTCGTCCTTCATTAAAAAGTTATTAACAAAAAATTTCACAACTATATAACACCCCTGATAGCAAAATGTTAGAAATTTGCGCACAAATTGGCAGCAACCTCGATCAAAGTTTTATTACAAAACCATAGCCATCTGTGCCCGCATATGGCTATGGACATGTCAACAAAGTCTGTTGACATGTTTTGACATGATTGCTGACAAAAACCGACCAAAGTCTGCTGACATAATCTAACTGCTGACGTAACCTGACGGCAGATTAGCAGCAAAAACCGATCAAAATCTGTCATTTTCATTTAAATCGACCTAGTTGCTTATAAGAAATTTTGCGTACATATATGTATAATCACCTTTATCTCATTGATGTAACGTTATTTAGTACCATTAAGTGCAAGCTGTGCATATTCTACTATTCAAATTTACTGTTATTATAATATATTCAATACCCAAAAAATTTGTAATATTCAACTATTTTAATTTTTGCACAAATTATTAGATTTATATAATATTTGAATCTACTTGATTGTTTGATCTTCTCGTAAAGTTCGAATCATAGGACTCTTAAAAGTGATAACATTGACCGTACAATCGAGTAGATTGTATAATTTTTAATCACATTTTTTATCGATTCTTCAATCTCACTTCTTATCTAAATGTAGGATATTCGATGCCTGGTTCAGATAATGACATGGATAACAAGAACAATTCGGATAAATATGTGGATGCAAATACAACTACAAAGAATGCAAAACGTCATGAAGACTTATCTAACTCAACAGATTTGTACAATAATTGATACGAAGAAACAGGAGAAACAGAAGAACTTAATGAGTAATTATGTGTTTTACGCTGATTAAAATATATATACGAGTACATATATATGTGTAAATAGATCTCATGAATTCAATATTGGCTTTTCCATACAAACATAATCTATGATGCATTATGCGAAATATTCATTTATTACGTGTTCTATTATTTCTTTTTATAATAAACAAAAAATCAAAATTATTTTTTTAGTCTTGTTATATTATTACATTTGGTTATATTACATTTGTTACGTGATTATATAAGATGTTATTATAGTTTTCGTTATAATTATGGGTATATACGTAACATATTAGCACAAGTAATGTACTAAATTAAATATTATGATTGCACATGTTAGACAGTTTATGTACGTTAAATAGAAGAATAGAGAAGGTTTCAGAAATATTGGAAAGAGGAAATGCAATAAACATTTATACCTTTCTATCTCATGAACAATTGTTACAAAAAGTATAATCATATAGCATAAATAAATGTGTTTAAATTTGCCTTCTTATTTGAAATTCGTAATTAATATAAATATACGAGGGCAAATCTATAAGTACCCGTGTTTGAGGACAGGTGACGTTGCTGATGCAAGTTGGCATTACCATCGTGTACTATCATGTTTCAAATGACGCTATACAAAATTTCAGAGTGATTCATGCTATAGTCTTGATTTGACAGCAATTCGTAGTGAGAGTGTTTGATGTTTTCCGATACAATGGAAAAAGAACAATATCGATCCGTGATTCGCTTTTTATTTTTGGATAGAAAAACGTGCAAAGAAATAAAAACGAAGTTGGATGCCGTCTATGAGAACCCTTCACCATCTATGACAACCGTCAGATATTGGTTCAACGAATTCAAACGTGGTCGTTCGTTTGTTTTTGATGAGGAGCGCCCAGACCGCCCGGCAGACGTGGTTACTGAAGAAATCGTTGACAAAGTCCACGACATGATTCTCGCTGATCGCCGAACGAAAGTGCGTGAAGTAGCAGAGGCCATAGGCGTGTCGTATGGAACGTCATTCAATATTTTGTATGATAATTTGGGAATGAAAAAGCTGTCGGCCCGATGAGTGTCGCGATTGCTCACGGTGGACAACAAGCGAACGCGGTTATCAATTTCAAAGCAATGTTTGGAGCTGTCCGAAGGCAGCACAATCCGAAGGAGTTTTTGCGTCGAGTAGTAACGTTGATGAAACATGAATTCATTACCACACCGGAGACCATGGTACAGTCAAAACAGTGGATTTCACCCGGCGAACGTGCTCCGAAGAAGGCCAAGACGGTCCCATCGGCCGGAAAAGTGATGGCCACTGTTTTTTGGAATGCGCAAGGCGTAATCTTCATCGACTACATGGGGAAAAGCAAAACTATCACGGGACAGTACTAGCTGACTTATTGGGCCGATTCGATGTTGAATTGAAGAAAAAAGGCCCCCATTTGGCGAAAAAAAAGTGTTGTTCCATCAGGACGATGCACCGGCTCACTCCTCCGCAGTCGCCATAGCCAAATTGGTCGAATTGCGGTACGAATTGCTGCCGCATCCACCGTACTCTCCGCATTTGGCCCCCTGCGACTTCTTGTTTTCAAACTTGAAAAATTGGCTCGGTGGAAAAAGATTCACGTCGAATGAGGAGGTCATTGCCGAAACAGAGACCAATTTTGCTAAGTTCGACAAATCGTATTTTTCGGAGGGATTAAAAAAATGGCAGAAACGTTGGGAAAAATATCCTCCTAAAAGGGGATTACGTTGAAAAATAAAAAAAAATTTTGTGAAAATCTTACGTCTTCATTACTAACACGGATACTTATAGATTTGCCCTCGTACATGAGTAGTTTCTTGCTCGCAAAGTACAATGCATTTGCCTTCACTTGTAATTCTACTTACATTAATACGTATACCTTTTCATTTTCGTTTTTGTTCATGATGTACATATATGTATATACTTGTTTGTGTAATAGCTTTCTTTATTCCCTCTTTATAATATTAAAAAAAATGTATTTACATTTATGAACTTTATTTTAAATTAAGTCAAAATCCAACGACGAATCACACATCATAGATTTTGCATATAGTATAATACCTTGTTTTCTAGCAATAAATTTTAGAGAGATTGTTCCTGCATACTATACAGGGTGTTTC